AAAGTGTAAAAATAAAGCATAAAAAAAGTACATTTCAGTGTGAGATCAATAAATTTTCTTATAAATCTACTCTGACCTAGTGAAAAAAAAAACATATAATATGCAATAATGAACTAAAAGCATCAATCTCTGCCATCCAGCTCATCAAACTTTTCTATTGAAATCAGAGAAAATTTCAGAATATGCCCACTCAGGATAAAAATAGAGGCAAAGAGGTCCACATTTCCATCAGAACTATGTAAGGTCTTAGTGGTGCATGAGCTTTCTTAGAGTTCTATTCCGGCTTTACTTCCACTCCCAGATTATCTGTTTCAGTATTAATTGATGCACAAAAGCTTCCGTACGAAACCGTATATTAACCTTTCATAAATCAAAGATTGTGTTTAGGATTATTGGAAGGGAAATATTATTTCCATAGTTAGCTTATTTTGTTTTCCTTTCTTGTAATATCTCGTGTTATAAATAGGGTGTGATAGGTCTTTGTAATTATTCGATTAAGAATACAGAAAATCGTTTCTACATGGTATCAGAGCTAGATATCTAACCTAGCAAAATCATTGCGGAATTCCCTGCCAACAGTAGAGAAGAATCGACAACCTCTGAAACCTCAAACTTCGAAACAGAGGTTGTTCACTCAATTGGCTCCCATGGTCTGGAGAATTTATCCTTCCAACTCACGGTGGAGAAGTTGAATGGAAGGAACTTTCGTTCATGGGCCCAATCTGTAAAATTAGTAATTGAAGGAAAAGGAAAGTTGGGTTACCTTAATGGTGAAACCAAGAGACCAACCGAGGCAGCTTCGTTGCAGAAGTGGAAATCAGAGAATTCCATAGTGACTGCTTGGTTGGTAAATTCAATGAAACCGGCCATTGGGAAGACGTACCTCTTCCTCCCAACTGCAAAGGACGTGTGGGACTCAGTGAAAGACACATACTCAGACTGAAGATTCATCACACATTTTTGAAATCAAAACTCGACTTTGGCAAATCCGGCAAGGAACCAGGGATGTAACGGATTATTACATGGAGATGGTGGGTCTTTGGCAAGAATTGGATCTCAGTGTGGAAGAGGAGTGGAAGTGTCCGGGCGATTGCTCTCTGTACAAAAAGGAGGATGAGCGTGTTTACTAGTTCCTCGCAGGTTTAAACCGGGAGTTGGACGATGTGCGAGACAGAATCTTGGGCAGGCGACCATTGCCTGCAACTCGTGAAGTGTTTGCGGAGGTTAGCCGGAAAGAAGCTCGCAGGCTGGTCATGCTGAAGGAGACGACCGGATCGCCTGGAGCCACTGGAGAGTTGTCGGCACTCAATTCCAGGAGTAAGGGGCTGCCTTCTTACTCTAAATCGACTGGGCTAACGTTTTCTGGGCCTAATAACAGTGGGCCAAGCACAGGAAATTTTAAATCTTTGGGCTTGGAGTCTGGGACTAAAAATTCAAGCGGAGAAGGTGGTTTATTGGACTTCTCTTTAAAAGGGGCTATAAATGGTCAACCCAAAAACAACGAGGAAGATTATGGCGTGAACATTGTCGCAGGTCGACGCATAAAGAGTATACGTGTTGGGAACTTCATGGAAAACCCACTGACTCGAAACCAAGGCAAAATACTCGGATTAGGGGACACCAAGTTGAGACTATAAATTCCACACCCAACGGTGCATTCAATTCGGAACAAATGGAACAACTCTACCAACTTTTTTCTAGCCTTCAAACATTTGGTCAGTCCTCTACCATAGGCTCTTCTAGTTCCCTAGCTCATAAAGGTAACTTTCTACATGCCTTAAGCGCGATAAAATATAAAACATCTTGGATTATTGATTCGGGTGCATCCGATCACATACAGATTCATACCAACTATTTTCGTCATACTCAACTTGTGCTGGAGATATTAAAGTGAAAATTGCAGATGGTTCACTCTCTTCAGTTGCGGGAAAAGGGAGTATTCGAATCTCTAAATCCATAACACTTGACTGTGTACTCCACGTCCCAAACTTGTCTTGTAACTTACTATCTATTAGCCAACTGACAAAAAATTCCAATTGCTCTACTAATTTTTTCCTATCTCACTGTGTATTTCAGGACCTTTCAACGGGGAAGACGATTGGTAGTGCTAAAGAGTATGGGGGACTGTACTATTTCGAGGAAGCTGATGTGAGTAAACTAGGTCAACTTAATAACTGTAACTCTGCATCTGCATCTAGTGATAGTGAACTTTTGTTATGGCATAATAGAATGGGTCATCCTAGTTTCCCATACTTGAAACGTGTACTTTCCCCAAATTTGTTTAAAAAGACTTCTATTGAGTTTCAATGTGAAAATTGCAAATTTGCAAAACATCAACGTACTTCTTTTCCTAAGTCAACATACAAACAATCTACACCATTTTCCATTATTCATAGTGATTTATGGGAACCTTCTTGCAAGCCCAATTGCACCCACACTAAATGGTTCGTTACATTCATTAACGATCATACCCGAGTCTGTTGGGTGTACCTCCTAAAGGAAAAAAGCGATGTTCATTCAGTCTTTGTTGATTTAATTGAAGAAGGTTATTCCTTTTTATTCACACGTAATGTACAATGTAGGCACCTATTTATAGTACAAGTAATAATGACTAAAAAGGAAAAACAAATCTCCAAAATCTCCAGAATCAATTGATATATTCTTCTTATGGAAAGTAGAATCTCCAATTATACTCCAATTATTTCGGGATTTCAACACTCCCCCTCAAGTTGGATCGTAAATATTGATCATATCCAACTTGGAGATGAAATCATCGAATTTCGGTCTAGGTAGCCCTTTGGTAAAGACATCTGCAGTTTGTGCCAGTGTGGGAACATATGTCATACAGATAGTTCCTTCCTCAACTTTTTCTTTGATGAAGTGTCTGTCCACCTCGACATGTTTAGTTCTGTCATGCTGAACTGGATTAAGAGAAATGTTGATCGCAACTTTGTTATCACAATAAAGTTTGATTGGCAACTTTATTGTGACAAGTAATTCTTCCAGAAGTTACCTCAGCCACAGCCCTTCACATATTCCTTGTGCAGCAACTCTGAACTCAGCTTCAGCACTACTCCGGGCTACTACATTTTGTTTCTTGCTTCTCCATGTCACTAGATTTCCCCATACAAAGGTACAATAACCAGTAGTAGACCTCCTGTCGTCTGTTGATCCTGCCCAATCTGCATCCGTATAGATTTCAACTTCTCTTCTTTCGTTCTTTTTGAAAAATAGCCCCTTTCCAGAGGAGCCCTTGAGATATCTGAGTATTTTATAGACAGCCTCTAGGTGACTCTCCTTCGGTGAATGCATATGTTGACTTACCAGACTTACTGCAAATGCGATGTCAGGTCTTGTGTGTGATAAGTAGATCAATTTTCAACTAACCTTTGATATCTGTCAGTATCTACCAAATTTCCATCTTTATCTCTCTTTCCCACATCTACAGGTGTATTGCTTGGTTTACATCCTAACATGCCAGCTTCGGTTAGGAGATCAAGAATATATTTTCGTTGTGATACACTGATGCCTCGTCTCGATCTAGCAACTTCCATTCCCAGAAAATATTGCATAGGGCCAAGATCCTTTACTTCAAATTCAGTGGCAAGACTTTCCTTAAGTCTTTCCATTTCTACTGTATTATCACCTGTCAGAACAATATCATCGACATATACAATTAAAATTGTTTTAGTCCCATCTTCAAAATGCCGAAAAAACATAGTGTGATCTGATTGTCCCTGACGATATCCTTGACCTCTCAATACTTTTGCAAATCTGTCAAACCATGCTCTCGGTAATTGCTTGAGTCTATACAAAGATTTTTTTAGCTTGCATACTCGGTTTTTTTCATTTTCCTTGCAAAAACCTGGTGGTAATGTCATGAAGACTTCTTCTTCCAATTCTCCATTTAGAAATGCATTTTTGATGTCCAGTTGTTGAAGTGGCCAGTCCAAATTTGCTGCTAGCGATAGAAGGACATGGATTGTATTTAACTTTGCTACCGGCGCAAATGTTTCTGTATAGTCGATC